GTGTGTGTTTTTTTTTCCTTTTCGAATTCATTTAATCTCGCATTGTTTTTGTCAACACGCGATTGTATCGTATTGCCTAACTCATATATTTTTGTTGTTTTTGTTATTGTGCACCCCCCTCCCCACAATGTACGGAAAAAAATTGTAACATACACAATTACAATTAAAATTAATTTCACCGTCTGATTTGCACTGATAAATTTATTTAATTAACTGATAACAATCGTTGAATGAAACACAACACGCACAAATTCTGTCAACTGTTATGTGTTATCGATTCGGTAATAATTCGTGTATGTGTTCAATGGCATTTCTCTTTGGCTTAATCTGGCATTTATTTTCGTTCTCTCACAATGGTTCATCCATAAATTGGGCACCGATTGAAATTTTTTTTACATAGGCCCACCATAACCAAAACATTTTTTACATACTAAATCGATTATGAAATTAAATAAATCGGCATACATCGAGAATACAATACAAAAATAAAATCATATGTGGAAGAGAGTGCACGCGAGCGAGGGAGAGAGAGAGAGATAAATTGAAAATGATCTATTTGTGAATAGTTGATTTTCAGTAATTTCCGTTTAGTTGTCTATGCCCTGGTGGCTTAAAATATGTAGCCTATGCCAATGTCGTTTCCGCACATACTCACAATTCACATATGTATGATTTCACATACAGTCATGGCAAAATAAAAATCTATATAAACTAAAAATAAATGCTTTATTAATACGAATGAATGTGAATTATGCAGCGCATATATTTTATGAATATATTTTTTTTTTGTGTGTATCATTTTCTCGTTAGTTTGTTTTACTTTACTGTTGCTCCCCATCGTGTACACGCACATGTTCAATCGTACCGAAGACAAGGGTAATTTTTTATATATCGAAGTTTATTACCACACATGAGCCTTGTATAGTATCTTTCTATCTCTCGCACTCTCTCTCTGTTCTGTTTTTTTTACTCTAGTTTTTTTGTCGCTAGTAGTAGCTCTATGATTTTCTGCACCTTGTAGATTTCGATATGCAGAGCACCCGAGTGATTGCCGATTACTAAAATAAAATGTATGACAATGAAAAACTAATGGTGCATTTTATGTGATGTACACAATATGTTTTAGGTCACAGTGGCATGCCGAAGTGCCATCGCATTATCGGGTGAGTAGCATTCGGCTAACGAAAAAAAAAAACATCGAAAACAAGTGTTTCTCGAGGGAGAAAAACTGCACAAGTTTTACTCCAACCGAATTAAAGGCATTGAACATGCTCATAAAATACATTTGTACTGAATTCGTCATGGGAAAATGGATGATTATGCAAAAGAAAAATGCTGAATAGTCAAATAATTGGCAGCATTTTATTTGGAATATTTGTGCTAAAATTGTGAACACTGATCGAAGAAACGAAGTCAAAATAATTTGTATAAAAGGCCATATTCATTAATTTCTTAATTACACAACGTTTTGATGTGGAAAACCACAAATTGTCAACATATCAAAAAGATTTTGAGAGAATCAATCGATTGCCATGGGCCATTGTTAACGCGAACTTTTAATGTAGACACATTAACATATCGTAAATAAAACAATTTGCTATGCACTCAAACAGTACACTGAATTTACACATTGACGATGGCATAAAAGATTTTCAATATTCACATTGAAAATCCCGTTGATTATGACATATTAAAATGTATTAACAATTGTGAGTGATATGGTCGGCACACATAATAATTGTGTGAGCGGAAAATAAATGTATATACGGCTTAAATGTGGTACATGTCAAATCAATTCATTTTCACCTCAACCGCTGACTGTCTCAATATTATAAACAATGAATTTAATTTTTGCACAAACCGAAACGAATGTGTCAAATTGCCCTTTACATTTCATTCGGTGACGAACGATGCGTGTGCACATGGCTATATAAAATGCTCGAAAGGGTTGTGTGCACATCAACAAACGAAAGATTGATTAACTGTGGCAAATTAATAAAGTCTTTCCCATTGCCAAATCGAGTGAACTAGAATGATGTATGTGAACGAGTGGAAGAGTACGTCTGTGTGGATGAACGCACACCAAAACGCTTCTCATTCAACGGAGAAAATTGCTTAATTTGTATTTAATTTAACTCATTTCACACACACACTTCAGAAATCCTAATTGAATTTTGATTAGAAATAACAGAAATTCAATGAAATTAGAGCATGCCTTATCGTAGATTCGTACCAATGAATTATTTGTATGTTTTGTGTATGCGTGCCACCATTTTTCCCATATATTTTCAGAATCGAAAATTGTAGCCATTTGCAAAGAAAAAAAAACATTGAACGTTATCTATTCATGGCAATTCATTCGGTTGATTTGATATATTTACCGAAAAAGACTTTCCACTCGATTCAAGTTACAATGACTTATTTCTCGTCTTGTTTTTTTATTCAATTTTTTTTTCTTTCAGAGTTGCAAATGGCACATGTAATGGAATCAACAAACGGATGAGGAAGTATTATCAATCGAAATATATTTACATATATTTCCCGTTGGGTTCGATAAAGAATAAAAAAAAAAAGAGATTGAAATCGCATATTCGATGCTCCACATTTTATTTCGCATTCGACGGAATCCATGTCTTCAACATTTCGTGCAATTCTTTTGAGATATTTATTCTAGTCTTCGATTCAATATCCGCAATGCATAAATATAATTTACCGATTTGCCGTACTGATTTTGATTCCGTTATTTTAAGCTTGTTTACTTTTTACGGTGCTCGTATTTTTTTTGCCACATCGATCGAAATAAAAGTTTATTCGATTTTTCAATTTTCGAATCATATCATTGATTTCAAATGAATTTAAAAAGTTTTCACAAAGTAACCGGACCATAATAAAAAAAAAACAAAATCAAAATGAATAAGTAATATTCATACATCCGTGTTTTATTTTCGGTGAGAAAGCTCGCATTTTTAGCGTATGTATCGTCAGCAATGTGTGCTTCTTAGTATATCAAAATGTCTTTAAGCTCCATCATTTATGTGAAGAATTTAATTCCGATTTCAAAATAAAATTTGTTTAGACGAATGTTTAGTTGTCTCACGGCATAAATGGCGACACGATGGAGTTAAAATGTAACAAATGTACTACCTAACGTGTTTTGAAATGTCACCAACATGCGATTTAAATGGTTATGGGTTTCAGCATGAAAATAATGAGAATTCATTTTTCTAACTCAAAATTTATGAATTATGCATCACGTACCGCATTTGACATTTTAGTGTTGCAAAAACCATGTAAAACTCTTTAGAAAATGAATGTTTGGATATTCATCCGACTAAATGTTTGTTGTTAGCTTGAACTTTTACTCTCACGGAAAATAATTTATATTTATATTTGCTTTTCTTTGTTGCAATCAAAGTATAGTTCCATCACAACAAATGAGCGGATAGGTAGACTGAGTGAGAGAGAGAGAGAGTATTTTGTTTAGTCAATGAAAACGATTTGTAATTTAACACCATACAAAATAAATGCGCTTTCAAATATGATTCGATGCTTATGCATGTTTTCGTGTAGTATATGATAAATGGAGACGAATTGAAGAGTGCCATTCCGAGCTAGTTGCAATCACATATTTCATTGAGTACAGAGATGCAAATATTCCATTCATTCGTTCGTCAAAGCGACCGAAACAAAAATATGCTACATAGATTTTTGCCACCGCCGTTTTTTCTTTTTTTTTCTCTCTCTCTCTCTCTCTCTCTCTCTCTCTCTTCTGGTGGGTTGAAGAAGCCATTATTTATTCATTTATGTGTGCATTCATGCCAGATGCCATCCATGATTCATCCATTCGTTTACGATTTACAATTAGAAAATTTCATTCAGTGTCATACGTCTTCTGCTATGTGCATATTCATTCAATTTTCAAAATTCTGCATGTGAATTATGATTGTTTGTCATTTACAAAGCAACCGAATGTTATCGCCAAAATAAATCACATTCAATTCATCGTGGAAAGGTAACTCTCAACACATTTCACAACATATTATGTGAAAAATAACAGACACACATTCCAATATATATATTTTTTTATGCTCGTCGAAATTTACTCTGGCACATTAATTTCAAATCGTACACATTTCATATTCAGCACGTGCGCCGTGTGTTACATTGAATTTTCTCAAGCTAAATGAAACGATACACGGCAAACGATGTCAAATTGTAAAATTAAACCCACATACAAATCAATTGCATAGACCTTAAGACGTAAAACTATTTTGCCGATTCCAATTAGAAAATACACACATAAATCCATTCGAATTAATGATTATTGACGTCTTTGATCGTCGCAAGTAACACCGACGCACATCCACTTCAAATCAAAGTGATTTGATTAAAGTTACCATATTAAAATCGATTTGTGTGGAGAGAGAAAAAACAGAGAACACAATTCAAAATAATTGACTATAACAGCTTATGTCAATCTTTCTCCGACCGAAATAGAAATGAGAATGCTTAGACCGGAAAACCGCATACACACACACACACACACACACATAGATGCATGCTCAAACATTGAAACTAAAGATTGTGTCGTTCACAAAGTTTTGGGTTGAAAAATTAAATTTTCTCCAACGTCTATCGGGTCTGAGATTACAATTTGTGCTTCGAAAAGACTTGTCACCTTTGGCAAATCAGCTTAAGCTGTCAAATAAATTGATTCGATGCTTTTCCTCCCTTTTTAAGTTCAAAATGAGTGCGTATTGTGTTTCGATATGAATGCTTGAAAAAATCAATAATATGCTTCAATCTAAATAAAACAGGAAAAAAAACCACGTATTTCGGACCGAAGAAATTTGTCAGACAAACAAATACAACCAAACGAAATGAGTAAAAAAAAAAAGAAATCTGATCACAATTGAGTCCGAGGTGCCTTTCTTAACACAATTTGTAGGCGGCATTTAGACTTTTCGGAGAATGGAATGGCATAAGAATAAATAAATTACCTGTACGCGCACTTCGGGCAAATTAACTTTCATCGCTAGCTCTTCACGTGAATAAACATCTGGATAGTGTGACTTCTCAAAAGCTCGTTCCAACTCATGCAATTGGTATGTGGTAAATGTGGTGCGGTTTCGTCGATGCTTTTTCTTGTTGCAGGCATCATCTGGTGCTGTGCGAATAATTTATGAAAATTCATAAGAAATACAAAATATTTTGCATTCATTTCGCATCGAAATTGAAATTTCATTTTCAAAACAACAATGCCAAAAACTACATAATAATACAATAAATGGTAATGTACTTACCACCACTTTCATCGTCACTGCCTGAGAGATTTTTGTCATCGTGTTCACTGGTATTTGTTTGATTCAAGTCATCGCTCGATGCATAATTTACATTAATATTTGTGGCACCATCATCACTACCACCACCACCGCCGCCGATGCCAACACCACCCCCACATCGATTTGCATTCATATCGCCAGACATGTTACGATAATCATTGTCCGAACCGTCAATCATTCGATGATGGTCATCATTTTGCATTTCATCAATATTTCTCGGTCGGATGCCATCAAAACTGCTAAGATACTCGAATTTACTTTGCATTATATCGCCACAATTATTCTTATACATTTTATGGAATACACTGTTATTATCGCCATCGGTAATTGCATCGTCTTTGGCATGCTTTCGTTTTGCATTCCGATGTGTTGTTCTATTGTTGTCGGTGTTGCTGCCACTGCTAGACACTAAATAGTTATCACCGTTCATCGACACCGATTCATCAAAATCGTGTTCATGTGAATGATTATTTTTGTCATTTGTATTTGCAATGGTGCCAATGTTACCGTTGCTACCATCGATCGAACCACCATATGAATCACAAGGTCGATTTCGTTGATCCGAATTGTAATACGATTTTTCCATAAAATATGATTTATGCTCTTTTAGTGTAGTTGCATTTTGGCTGTAATCAAATTCGGTAACTGGGCCCGATGTTGATTGATCATACACACTGCCGCCTGATTGACATTTATCGGCTTCCAATCGAATGAAATGTTCTTTAGTGATTAGTTGATTGTCAGACGCTCTAATGCGTTTTAATGCATCCGAACGCAAGTCATTTACATGATTTTTTCCGCCTGAAAAAACAAAACAAAAAAAAACACACATTCATCAAAATACCGCATGAATTTCAATCTTCGATTTACATAGAAATGGACATATAACGATGGCGATTAACATGTGCCACGACAATAGAAGGATTTCAGTCCAACAAAACGCATTTAATCATCACAAATTTAATCGACAACAATTGTTATGGCCAGTTTAAATGGTCAAATGTATTGCTTTATAATTGTTACTGCCACATTCCACAGCAATCACTCTCCCACTTCCTCTGCTTTTGCTTTGATTTATTTCGTTCTTTCTCTTCTCCGTACTCTTTCTTCTCAATCTCAAGTGCTTTTTTTATTATAATTTTTTCTTTTACTCTGGGACCAGTAGCCGCTTTTGTTTGCTTTTTTTAATGCACAACAAATATATACCATTTTATCCATCAAGCGATATGAAATTAGCCGGAGCGCACCTATATACCCAGGCACACAGGCACATACATAGAAAATACAGTGAAAAAGAAATGGAGTGACTTTATGAAACGATCCAACCTTATTAGGTCGACAAATTGAAAGCGGTCATTCCTTTTGATTTGCTGTGTGTTTCCATAAACAAATAATAACCATTCGTTTGCATGTTAACCTGTTATTTTAATGAATAAACCATTAAAGTTACGTTCTTTTTAATTGAAAGTTATTTAATATTGTTTCTTTGTTGGTGTTGTGTGTATTTTTTTTTTATTGTTTCGATTGTGTGAGCGCGAGCGCTGGACATGCGCTAAGCAATAGCAACTATTCAAAATGTAATATATCGGTCGGTTTGTTTTTTCGCTTGACTATTTCCATGTGTCGTATTGATTTTCTTTGCCTTTCACTCTCTTCACCGCGTGGCACAATGATAGTTTGTTAATTACATTGAATAATGGAAATTAAATTAAAAACCCGTGTAGAAACATCGTCAATCAAATGCGATAGAACTACTTTATTAGCCTAAGCACGGTGCAAATTGTCTGACAATTTTCCATTGGATATATATTAATTCGAATGTATGCGCGCTTATAGTATGGCCGGTTAATGTTCGACCCGCTGCGTGTACTAAATTGTTCGGATTTTTATTGTGTCCTATATCGTTTCATGATTTGTTTTCCACATTCGCTTATTAACGCTGGTACAATTTTTTTTCTCCTTTTTATAATTTCCTGTCCACATCCGTTCGATATTTGGTTTCCCTTGATGGATGTTAGTTGAAAAAGCCAAAGAGTCACACAACAGAGGAAAAGCGTTGCTTCTGATTGCATTAATTACAGTTAATTTATGAATAAAAAAAAAGAACTAATTAGTTCTCCGGATGGAAAATGGCCCCGAAAATGATAGAACTTTTTTTTAATTCGTTATTTTGATTTTATTTGCTCTTAGTTCCGAAACGGATAAGTAAATAAACAACATTTCTTCTTTGATTGATTTGAAATGTGATTGTGTGTAAACATTCATATATCGATATATATTAGTACATTGAAATCATTCATGAATTACTTTTGTTAAAATCGATAAAAGCAGCAACAACTTTGTTTAACTTTGAGATGAAAACATCACAATCTCCTTAAAATAAACACACAACATTTACGAATAGTTTGTGAACTTTCCAATTTCATATTCGATATGAAAACGATATGAAACGGTGCACGGTGCGTACATAGGTGCATTTTATTCTACATATGATCTAATCACATGTCTTTTAAACGGCTGAAACTAATTTCATTTGCAAACTTTTGAGACTCATTGCAATTTTGCCCAAGTGAAAACTTTAATTCTTGAGATAGTTTTCATAATAAAACTAATCGGTATGCGTGCCAGCACCGTTCATAATTGAATTAAAGTACAACAATAACACGAACTCAGTGGAACGCAACACAGTTAAGTTCAATTGGAAAAATATACATACATATGTACTGGTAATTATTGTACGATTTCATGAATTATTTAAATAATTATAATCGACACTTGATTTGCGTATGACAAGAAAATCGTTTTAACCGAAGATTATGAAAAATGAAAAATGTTGATTTCTCGCACACATTAATGAGCACCGTTCGCTCGCCATCACCGCCGCCACCACCACTATCGTTTCTCCACCCAAAGAAAGAGAGCAACAATGTACGGTGTGGCGGCAAACGACGACGACGACGACGATGACGACGATGGAGTCCTTGATTTTATCAGCATTGTGTAACATGAACTTTCAACCTTGAAACTGGCCACTCATTATAATTAATATTATTGTTCATTGTGTTTTATCGTATCAAAATATTTATGGATAAAGCAAAAGGAAATCAAGCACCTTTTTGGTCCTCACCACATACACATACACATCGTAATTTCGGAAACACATGCGACTGCCATCTAATAATCGATGTCACACCATATAAAAATGATTTAAATACTTGCGCAATTTTCTGCATATAATTTATGGCTTCATTAGAAATTTATGACTTCCCCTCATAAATGTGGAAGTTTTAATTACGGACACCGAATATTTTACGTTCATTTTTCGGGTCAAAAATGCGACGATTATTATACATCATTTTCAATCATAGCATATTCATGTTTTAAAATTATAAACGCCGCAAAAATCTGAAGAGATTGATCGCTTTGAGCAATTTATAAAGAGAATTTCTACAGAATAAACGTGATTCTATTTGCTAATTGACTCATTTTATCATGGACGTTATTAATATACAGCAATTTAAGCAATTACGGCGCATGTCAAGCATCAATGATTTAATTGATTTGATGTTCTTAGAAGTTGACTAAAAAAGTGAATCATCAATTTAAAATCAATTTGACTATGTTCGGTCGAAAAAAAGAGCAAAAAACAAAAATTCGATTGAAACAAAACAACGCATTCGAATGAATAATTTAATTAAATGGATAAGTAATTTTCAAAATGGAGATTGAACGGAAAAAAAATTGAAGAAGCACAATAAACAACATCCATTAATAGCGGATGTCAATAAAATCGGCAGCCGAAAGTAAACAATTATGCTTGTTACAATGGACTAATAGTTTAAAATGGCATTGTAGACAGTAGCCAAAATAATTAGCGAGCACACACTCAATTCTAATGATAATAGAGGACCCATCATTGAAGCACAGCACACTGTAATTAGTTTTGATGCTTTTCTTTAAATAATATGATTTGTATATGATTGATGTTTGAGCATTGCGATTCAGAAACACGAGTCAGCTGGATGATGAGAAGAAGAAGAAGAAGAATAGACGCTGACGAGAAAGAGCTGATGCAAACATACTTATCCAAATTGATTGTCCGCGCGATGCGGCTACTTAAGAATGTGAAATGTGAAATTGATTGATTCAATTTTACATTTTCAATCGCACTGAATCCATCGATTTTAAATCAAAGTGAATGCCGTACACCGATAAAATCAATCTGGCTTCAATTTGCTAAACATGGTTTCAATTAAGCCGTCGCTTTTTTTCGACGTGTGGTTTCGGCATACTTCGGTGAATTTTTTTTTTCTTCTCAACATTTTTGCTATTAACGTTTAAATCATCGTTCTAGTGGTTTTCTTCATAAATTCGAAAAAAAAAACCTCGTTTGTATTTGTTGTGATTTAACCTCATGTAATACGCCCATTTGTCATGCAATCCATAAACACTCAAATGGATATTATACAATATTTATATTGAATAAAAAATGTTTGTAAACGGCATACACTTTGTTGTTTTTGAAACGTTCATGGCTTTTGTTTCGCCTATTCATATTGATTTAAAAAAAAAAGTCCGTTTTGAAACAGATAGGTAAGAACATTTTATAAAAATGGGCTTATTTTGTACCAACCTCAAACGGAATGACTTTCAATTATCTTTATCTTTTCTTCAATCCCGAATAGATTGAATTATCACTATCGGGTTGTGTCGGAATTTATTAAAGTTTTGAAATCTTTTGTTTTGAAAATGTTTAAGTGGTTATGTTTGGTTTGTTTTTTTTTCTTCTCTTCATAAATCTCATGTTTCCATGTGAAAATCTCTAATCTAGTTAATTTCGTTGATATTTGAACGCCTTCATTACTCGTATTTGATGGAAAAACACTTTCTTTTTAAATTTTATCTCAGTGGCTAATTTTTACTAATTTACTGTGTTCATATTTTTTTCTTCTGTTCTGTCTACGACAGCTAAAACTGGAATTAAAAATTGGTATGTTTAAGTTTTCAAATAGAATCCCAAGTCAAAAGTCGTTATGAGTGCGAGACACGATTTTAATTCACGTTTTTTTTCGGTTCGTCTGCGACTCAATCGAAACAAAGTATAAAACTATCAAATCGCAATTATAAGAGAGACACGAATGACGAAAAATGAAACTAAATTAAAAAGTTTAAAATTAATCATCGCTATGTCTTTAGATGTGGTTTGTTGTAATCCTTATTACAGATGTTGACCGTAACACTACGCATACGGTGTATGCATATCACACCCGATGCCGCTTAAATAAAAAACTTTTTATTCCGATAGATGCACGCCAACTGATAAGCATAAACAATCTTAAAAGTTGGATTTATATAGTTTGGTTCATGTTTCGGCGCGTGAATCTATGATTTTACAATCAAATGTTTTTCGGAGTGCGAACAATTTGTGTTGCTCGGCGCGTTTTTTTCTTCTTTAGTTGAATTCTTATAACTCAATTCTCATCAACGACTTGCGATTTTTGGGTTTATTCCCCTTTTGTTGTGTGGCTCTATGGTTGTTGTTTTTTTTATGTGTGTGCGTGTGTCTCACCGTCGCGCGCTTTTAATTTGGGCTGACATTTTTTTGTTTTGTTTTTGTTTGCAAATTCTTTACATCGGAATTGCATTCCAAACTAAACGGCTTTCGTCTTTCGACACACATACAGAGATATATACAGAGGGACACAATTTATCCTAATAAACTTACGATATATAGTCATACCGAAAAAAAAAAACACACACAAACCAGCCGTGCATGCAACAACGAAGCTCGCTAATTTAGTGGAACAATAAAGAAATGCGAACAACGAAAAAACAACGGAAAAGAATCAATAGACAGAGAACGCACATAATCACGAAATCGTCGAAATCGAGTTTCTGTTCCCGTTCTTTATGTATTTTCAACTTGTTGTTGTTTTTTATATTCTTTCCGTTCCTTTCTATATCGTGCCCGATTCGTGCAATTTAAAAGGTAGAAAACTTACACCAGAAATTGCGACGGCATGCACAATGTCGACAAGGCATATTTAAGTGAGAAAAGTTAATGGAATGGAACTGATGAAAGGCGCTATTCATTTATTAATAAGGTAAAACAATTTTTGCGACACATCAAATTCCCGCCTGCAATGCAAACCGAATTGAAAACGGATGAACAACAACAAAAAAAAAAAAAACGAAAATTGACGAAAATTTATATTTGAATTAAATTCTTGTGTGTTGATTTTATTTTCAATTTTATTCTCCCCATTGGAAATATGACTATTGTGTTGCTGTCGACTACACAAGCCACAAATCATGACACGAATCAAATTATAAACAGCAATAAAATGGAGCGAATTCTCTTATTGTCGCATGTAGAAATAGAGCGAGAGAGAAAGAAGAAGAAAAAAACATGGAAAAGGCCGTGTAATAATATCAAACCAACAAACAAAGCAAATTAACCATATACAAATCTCATTTTTCAGTTGAAATAATAATTAAGCCATATTTTTTTTTCCTAGTACAGTTTTCTTATTAAGTGTGACGTTTGACGTTTTATGGTTTGTACAAAAAAAAGAAACGAATATAAAAAACCATACATCGTTATATAACGCATACATGCATTATTGAATGCATACCATTCATTCGCATTTGGCGCAACGCTTGGTGCACGAAAAAAAAAATTAATATCGATTGTTTAATTAAAGTTGGACAGCATGGTCAAAAAGTCTAATCATAATTATTTTAATCGATTATTGTGGTCAGTAACAGCCATTTCGAACAGTCTTCAATGGAATATCAAATTGTAATCGGTTCTCACATAACCGTCGCGCAATCATTTGGCCTCAATTACTAATTACCCTGGTTTATGACGGAATTTCCATTAATCGATCTTCAAACGAATGCAAATTTAAGTGTTTACACATAAAATTCGAACAAAGAAAAAGAAAATCTATCGAAATTCGCACATTCGTTTGAGATTATTGTGAATGGAATTTATTATTCAATTAACATATTTATGAGTTTGTTCAAAACATAGCACGATAGTTAATTAATGGCGGTTAAGGAGTTACATACAAACGGGGAAACTCGAAAGCCAATTCATCAATAAATGTGTATGTTTATAAAGAGTTATTAGCAATTTTATGACTTCATTCAATACTATGAAGCAACAAATATCCGTCGGCGCTCAGCCGGTTTCGCTTTCTGTATTGTTGCGAAGAAATTGTGGTAAAAACAATGCAAATTGAAGCAAAATCGCTTTTGCCATAACTTGTACTACATAATAATAATGAGAAATAAGGTCTATTTCTCTTTTTACTTTTCCGCACACACCTAGTGTGTAAGGTAAAGTATTGGAATCGGTCGAAAAATTAACACCCATCAAAAATGTGTTTTCTGGGTGTTTTTGGGGCCAGGGAACATGAATCTAGCGTTTTTTCGATGTCCGAATGTATGTGCGTACCCTGTACCCTGTACCCTGTAC